GTTGGAATGTATTTGGTCTAAATTGGAATGTATTATTTGGTCTTGGATGAAATGTATTTGGTCCTGATGATTGGAAAACAAATGGTCTGTGATTATTATTGAACGGTGGTCTCTGAAATGCGAGATTTGTTTGCTGGTTATTTTGGTAGTTAATATTTTTGTTGCGAGGGTGATAATTGCTGTTATTGTTATTAGCAGGAATAACTCTCTGATTTAGTCTGAAGTTTTGAAAGTTCAGTAAATTATTACGACTTTGGCTGTATAAGAAATTTTCTTCCTCAATCACCAGAGACATTGCTTTTTCAAGGCTTATAGGATCTCGTAAGCGGATATTATTTTGTAGCTGACCCGGTAAACCTCTTATAAATGTTTTTAAGGCAATATCGTTATAGTTTTGAGTTTTGATGTCAAGTTCGTCTTGTGTTAAGTTTAGTGAGTTTAATTTTGAGAATACCAAAGAACGTGCGTCTTGGAATCGCATGCCGAAATTATAAGGTGTTCCGGTTTTATTAGGTGATAGATATAGATAGTAATTAGATCTTGAACAAGGCAATCCAAATTTCTTTGATCACCAAAACTTAACTCTAAAGCAAATTTTACATCATTCCGAGTTTTTAATTCATTGATTCGAGGACCAATTAAGCCGAGGGCTCGACCTGATAATTATTGCAATTATTGCTCTTACAATAAAGCTGTTGTGTACATCGTCATTGTTACGATGGAAATTACTAATAAGACAACTGCAATTATTGATAAAAATGGTTAATGTGTGCGGATCGCCATCATAAGGAGGAATGGTGTCCACATACAAACGTAACAATTGGTAATTGATTGGTTGATTTTGATTAGGCATTGTATTATTCGGTAAATTCGAGGTACTATGCCTATTACAAAAGAACCATATGTGGCTTGAGAGAAAATGAAAATGTTTTATCCTTGAAGAAAAAGTAACCAATGCAGTTAACACCGAGGTGGAAATAAAAAACACACGTACGTACGGTGTCTAATAATGGTAATTTATTGCCATAAAAAAGATTAAATTGCTTCCGATACAAAAACATAAAAACGAAAAATACATATTCGGCAAAAATGTGTTGAGGTAATAATGATAATAATAATATCAGTGTATTTCTCAAAAATTTATATACTATAGTTACAATTGTTTTGAAATAAACAGTTGAGCACAGAAGCAACTTAAGCTGCTTGTTTGTGCTGAGCGTCCAGTTTGAATAAGAGTCACTAATTGGGTTTAAAGTCACTTTCGGGGTTTGATGTCATTTTTGGGGTTTATTGTCACTTTTGTTTTTTTTTTTATCGCAATTTGGAAGGTTCGTCGAATTTTGATTTAACACTATACTTATAGATTTTGCTTCTAGACTAACACTTTTATATAACTTGTAACTTATCCTATTCAGAGAAAAAAAAAACACTTTATATATAGGTATGCTTGATACTCTTTAAAAAAACTAGTGAGTTTCTCGTCTATCTGACAGCAGAAACCACTCTTTAATTTTATTATTGAATGATTTGCAAAAAATAATGTCTTTTAGATGTTTGGGCAGTACATTAAAGAATTTTGGGGCCTCTCACCCACGATTAAATATAAAAATAACATTACTTATCAGCTATTTTGCATTTGTTTGTGTGTCTTTGAAAAAGTTTTTTATTGCTAAACGACATAGAGCACGTGGCGCACTTTTATTTGATACAAAACTTGACATATTGTGGAAGGGCACAGGCGCTGAATTCTTTATGACATGAAGGGCACGCCGTTTTCTTTGCACTGCCGTGCAACTTTGTTGTTGATGTGGATGGTTGTTGGTGCTGGGTGCGCCTATGTTTGTTCAAATAACTATCTGTGGCAAAACATCGCGTGCATTCAGGACACACAAACGAATATTTCAATCTTTTTGATAGTGGCATATTATCGGCCAGCATGGGGTTATCAAAGGGCGCGGAGTCAAGATCCTTGCTGGTGTCAGTATGGTCGGATTCGATGTCGTCAACGTCAGCATCCAATCGTCGTTTTTTAACATTGTCCTGGTGTTTTTTGCTGCGGCAATGTGCGGACCAATCTGAAACCGTTTTCGAGCATAGGTTGCATGGGCGCCAAAACAGTACTTCCATCGGGCTGAAACAAAAAAAATATGTTTTGGTGACTTGTGATGTGACGCAAGAACGTAGGTATATGCGGTAGGACAGCGAAAACAGCAAATCAGAGAAGAAACGCTACCGTTGGCGTATTTTTTTATTGAAGTTTCTAACAATGTTCCATTGTAAAAATAGATACAATAATCATGATAAAAAACACGAAAAACTAAACTGCAAAAATAAAAATTTGATTACGCCTGTATCTGTAGACAAGAAAACTCGTAAATTTTTTCGTAACATAAAATTTAACAGCAAACTATCGATGCAGTATTGTTAAGGATCATTTATAGATGCTAAAAACCAAAAATGCAACAGCTAATTACTTTTAGGGGATTTTATAAACAATATTTAGTGCAAAAATAGGGCTTTTTTTTGTTTATTTCACTGTATTTCGAAAACTAAGGATCGGATGGTTTTGCTACTAGGCAGGCTTTATTGAGCCCAAATTTGGGCCTGGTCCGATGGGTCGTTTCGGCATAATACCCTTGTCAATAGCTATTCCTCTCTTAATAGCATTTTCTTCGTCATCAATCCGTGCCAAACGATTAATGTTGTTTTGTACTATATTGCAAGTGTAACAACAGGTTCGCATGGGTTGTAGTACCATTCCCCTATATGCTTAGAATAAGATTCAACATCATTTTTTGTAGATTTTTTTACTTACCAACAAGATCTTAGATATTTCTCTTCTCATAAAATGTTGTTTGGCTCTAGCTGGGGTGAAATAGTTGGTGAACTTAGTCCAGCTATTTTTTTTGAAGAGCTAGTTTCTCTAAGTACCAGTGCGATTTTGTTGTTTGCTATCCAAGTATGGAGAAACATGCTGCTTTCTTGCAGAAGATTGAAGTTACTTCTAACTTCTATTTTTGTAACGTCATAGACTGTGGTCATAGAGACATAATATGCAGCAACCTGTGCAAACTATAAAACTTATATTTCGACGTTCCATTCACATATGGAAAAAGAAAGTATGCCCCTTTTCCTTGGAAAAAAAAAAGATGAATCTTCTTATGTCATAAAAATCACCATAATATGCACAAGTTCAGCCGCAGTGCAGTATTATCACGTTAAAACTGAATTTACAGAAGAGAATTTCATACATCTGTCAAAACTGGTATTCCAACAATAAACTGACATGTTTTGATTGTTGATTTGAATCAATCAGATTGGAATTACGCGATAATTTGCACTAGTGCAAATTATCAGATAATTGCATAGTAACTGGTGCGAAAACTGGTGTTTTGACATTTTTTTGACAAAAAATTTAAATTTTTGATTTATGAAACTCTCTCATTAAATACAACTCGTGCAATGGAAATATATTTGTAATTTTTGACAAATTTGCACTCATGCGTTTTTAACTGAGAAAGGCACTCGTGCTCTTTTTCAACTAGAAATGCATTCGGGCAAATTTCCCAAAAATTATCAATAATTTCCATTGCACTAGTTATATTACTATTGACTATTTTTTCCTTCTCCAGTAAATATTTAATGCTTCCACGCCCCTGTGATATGGGAAGTACCACTAAAAAACTATCTTTCCGATTATACAGTGCCCGCGGAAATGTCTGCACCATATGGGAAATTATTTTATGCTCATCCTTACTTCAAATCGGTTTTTGGCATTAGGTTCTGCATGACTTAAAACCAAAAAAACACCTAAAATTTTTGACTCGAGACTTGCCTCACACCTGTCAAATGCCATTTGAAAATTTCAAACAAGGAAAAGTGGCAGTTTTATGAAAAATATGAAAAAAATTTATAAGAAAATATTGTTCCAAATGACATTAGAGTCTAATTTCATATTTTTGCTTTGAAAAAAAATATTTATTTTTTAAAATTTTTTTTCGAATATCTACGGAAAAATAATATTTTTAGGATTTCTTTCGCGACCATTACTCTAAAATAATTAGTTTGTATCTAACTAATGGTTTTTCAAATCCTAATAATCTAATTAAGAGTTTAAACATCAATAAGAAATATTTCTATTAAAATCTTGATACGCCTCTGGACTATTTTAAAAATTGTATGCTTTGAAATATATTTTTTTCAAAGCAAAAATATCAAATTAGACTCTTTGGAACAATATTTTCTTATAAAATTTTTTCATATTTTTTATAAAAATGCCACTTTTCCTTGTTTGAAATTTTCAAATGGCATTTGACAGGTGTGAGGCAAGTCTCGAGTCAAAAATTTTAGGTGTTTTTTTGGTTTTCAGTCATGCAGAACATAATGCTGAAAACCGATTTGAAGTAAGGATGAGCATAAAAAAATTTCCCATATGGTGCAGACTTTTCCGCGGACACTGTATAATCCGTTTTTTTTTTTGGGGACGGATTGGATGTTTTTTTCTTTTGAGAAGTGAGAAATGAATGGAGAAAATAAGTTTTTTTTTGTTCAGATGAAACAATATACTGGTCACAAGCAGTATTTATTTCTTGCCGTCTCGGCAGGTACTTTTGTTCCCTCTCACGGTCGAATTCGATGTCGTCAACATCAGCATCCAACCGTCGTTTTTTAACAGTGTCCTGGTGTTCTTTCACCTCTATGTGCTTCAGTTTACGCTGTGGCTTTGAAGACAGCGCGAGTTTTTGTGTGCTCCTGGGTGGCCCGGCCGTTGTGTTGTACACAGTCTCATCACTTTTACTTCTTATCGGCGTGTTGTTTTTGTGTTTGCTTGCTTAACGCACTACAAAAGATGAAAAAAGTTGTGTTTATAAACGGCGCGGATTTTCAATACGATCTTTCGCAATTCATTCAGATGTGCATGATTTCTGACCTGCGACAACATAAATTATTACGGGCCGATGTTCTTGTGGGGTGCTCCGTGTCCGGGGAATCGTTCGAAGCAAGTATCCGCCGCCCGCTATTAGACAGTAAATTACATAAAGAACTCATTTCATGCACACCACTCACCAATAACGTATTTCGTATGTCATCGCGTGTTATTAATGCATCGGATGCACGGGCAACTTTGATGCGCGAAGTTTTCGAGCCGTTATCAGCGGACGTTGTCAGTGCTGCCGCTGGACATCCGTGCATCCCCAATTCGCAGGCCGCGCTGGGTATGCTGTTTGATGCGTTTCAAGAACGATACATTGGACTTTCCCGTGGACGTGGAGCAGGCGATGCTGATGCGCCACCACCAGTGGATTATTTTCGCAATCTCACCATACCTCAGATGGATAGTAAACTACACGCCGCAACGGAAAAAAGCAGTCTAATATCGCCGCTTCTCCATCGCGACGTGGACGTCATGCCGGGCATCAACGAAAGCATGTATTATTTGGCAAAAACCGGCAGTTACTGTGAGATGCATTACGAAGACGGGGGTTTACCATCGTTGAATTTATTACGCTGTTTAATTCCCAATGGTACACCCTTTGCCACAACTACCGATGGCGCCAGCCCGCCGCTACCTGCTCAAGGAGCCGAGGCCGAAGGGGTAGCAGACAACCCGCAACCAGTCGAACGTTTCGGTAAAATTTGGCTCTTTGTGCACGACAAGAACCAAATATTGAATGCTCTTCATGACGAAGTCCGTCGGCTACTATGCCCCCTCAGCGACACGACCCCGAAACGCTGTGTAAATTTCAATCATAAAGACATCCTAATTACTCGAGCCTTCCTGCACCAGTACCAGCTGCCATATTCCTTGGTCGGTCAGGCGCTCGGTGACATCATCTTTATAAAATCTGGCATCTTCCACCAGGTTATTAATATTGACAACTGCTTTAATGAGGCCGTTAATTTTGGTACACCGAATTGGAACCTGCATGCCGACTTAACCCACTTGTGCAGATGCCCGCAAGAAAAAATCAGCAACATCGCCAAAAACACAAAAGTGCTTGTAGCCACACGAACGGCCACAATTAAAATATATGATTGTCCCATCGACGGTTGCGCTGCTCAATTTTGTTTACAGAAAAACTTGGATCAACATATGATCCAAGTACACGACCACCGCTTTTCATGTCCCGTTTGCCATCAAAAGTACCGCAGCAGGCAGATCTTGAAGAGACACATTTAAAAACGTAAGTAACATACCTACCTATATCATAATTATTATCCTATAATCTATATACCTACTTGTTATGACTTTTTTTTCTCCCAAACGAGCCGTTGTTCACGCGCTATTGCGCATAGTAGGCCAAGGCACTTAGCGAAATAACAGCCATATTTTAACATAAAATTTAACAGCAAACTATCGATGCAATATTGTTAAGGATCATTTATATATGCTAAAAACCAAAAATGCAACATCTAATTACTTCTAGGGGATTTTATAAACAATATTTAGTGCAAAAACAGGGTTTTTTTTTGTTTATTTCACTGTATTTCGAAAACTAAGGATCGGTTGGTTTTGCTACTGTGGCAATAGTTTTAGAGCATTGAACAAGCTTTAAAATGGGCCATCATACAACCCTGTAGGTCTTTTAGTCTTCGAGAAATGATTTTTTTCCCCCCAAAAAAGAGATTTTCGTAAAAAATTCCCAAATTTTTAATTTTCATGATAGACAATTAATTTTTTACACATACATAGTAAAAGAGATTGATTTAGCCGATACTTGATGGAAATCCATTACTAATTTTGAAAGGAAACAAAAAAGGTTTCTAGATTTCCACAATTTTATTTTAATGATACCGTAACATGTTTCGGCACACGGTGCCTTCTTCAGACGGAATAACTAAACTAATATGCTAAGCTAGAATATATACAATATAGCAGGTAACAACATAATTAAAAACTAGGAATTTAGAGATCTAAAGCAATAATCAGAATGGGGTAAACTCAAGTGAAAATTATGCTAATTATGTATATAAATTTAACAATGGGGAATAAGTATTTGTACCTATCCAATTGTTCATTCAGTAAACCTTTTCCTTTTATTAATTTCCATGATCTCAAGATAATTTAATTTCTTGGATTTATTTGCTGTGTGTAAAATTTTAAAATCTGAGGCAAAGTTATGATTCTCTGAATTTAGATGTAATGCGTAATGTGAAAGGGTGTTATTTTTCCTGAAACTAGAGCGATGTTTTTTGATTCTTGACTTGAAAGATCTACCTGTTTGTCCAACATATACAATACATATACATCATCATACAATCAGCACATTCTAATAAGTAAACTCCTGATTTTGATAGTTTATCAGTTCTAGATTTGTTATTTTTAATGAGCTTACCTAAGCTGTTATTGGTTGATTGCCAACTTATAACGCTTTTTCCTAACTAACGCATCTATGAAATTAGCTTTGAATCCGTTATTGACGGCAACTTGTTTAATGAAATTGAGTTCCTTATTGTAATTTTCTGTTGATAGAGGAACATTTAAAAGTGTGTGTACAAACGAATTGAACGCTGCTATTTTATGTGAATATGGATGATTGGATTTATAAAGTATTCACTACATCATGTTAATCAAATCAATTCCCAATCAGTCGAATCTATGATGTATCTTCAGTTATTTTACCAGCTGTGTTATGAACTGATTACGCATTGGCATAGTTGTGGCAAGAGCGCCAGGTCCAGGTAAAATTTGTTTCTGATTGCTATAACGACTTTTAGGGACTGGACCGAAAATGGATCATTTTACAGACTGAAACGGGTCCGTAAAATAGACATTTTTGAGAGCCAATACACGAATGAGATTGACAATTGACAAAATTGACACGAGTACTTAGAGCCAGAGGGCTGACTGGAAAGAAATCTGTAAAGATCGATATTACAATTTTCTGTTTCGGTTTAAAATCGCCAAAGCGAATATTGCTTGGACGGGCGTAATATGATTTATGTTTTTTAAATTTTTTGTAATGTTGTGTCCAAAAGCGGCAGGACACGCCGGGCCCTTGTGCGCGGCATGACTTGCACGCCCTGTTGCTACGACCCTGAATGATGGGCTTAGGATAATATAAGAGTAAGAGTAAGAGTAGATGACAATACTGAATTCGAATGTAGAATAAAACGGAAAAAATAGGTGTACAGGTGAACTATGTTCTATGATAAGCGATCAGTTATGCTAGTTATAATCTACAATTAATGCTAGAGAACATAACCGACACGGTAGTACAAATCGGCCTTGAAACCTCACCTGCTTTGTAACTATAACGAACGACTTTGCACTGTTAACACCAGAATCTGTGACCAGAACTGAATGCCTTCCAATTTCTTCCAAATTGGTGACGCTTTTAGTTTATCAAGAAAACAGAGCTGCTTTCCAGTGCCTAAGTTGTAGCCCTCATCCATTATTTGAAATGTAAAAATTGAACAGGTTATAGCGTATTTCGCATTTAACAATAAGAACAAAACAATAACAATGACGAAGAATAAGAACATCAATTTTCTTAATCCCCACTATTTCGGACTAGGAGCATGAAACACCGAAATAAAGGTTGGTGCACGAGGGGGCAGGGGATAACAGAATTGAGTAGTTCAAGTGTACGACACTCTAAGCACTGGAACGCGCGAAGTAATTGTGAAGCACTCCTGAGCTGCTCAGGAGTAATGCCCGTATTACATCTGTGTATTTTTCCGTGTATTTATTCATGAAGTTCAGGGTGACAACCAAAAAACTTCAAACGCAACATAAAACAGCATTATGAAAAACAAAATAATGTTGACACCCTGAACTACATGAATAAATACACGGAAAAATACACAGATGTAATACGGGCATGACTCAAGTGGGTCACTGGAAAGCACCTCAGGAGTCAAGAGTCGTGTTTTAAGACACAGTCATCACACTCTTTCAGAAATCGACTGATATCCCTTGGCTTTTGGTAAGGTTTAGTCAGAAATTATGCGATTTAATCTAATTGGCTAAAAAGCCAATTAATAGGGTAATTGCATCAATTTTTTTTATTGCTGATTTCGTTGGTCCATGAAAAATAAGTCAACACGTGTTTTTTTCTTTTTCTTCTTAGTCACAAATTGACGGAGGTACAATGCTATGTGAAGAGGAATTGTTGACAATTCTGGTCTTCACTTTTAAGATATTCCTTGTGCAAGTCTTAATAATTGATGAAAAAATCCATAGGTTTTGGGAAAGAAATAAATGTAAATTAAAAGCCAACAGATTTGAAAACAGTTCAAAAAAAAAAAATTGAAATTAATTATTTAAAGAATAAATTGACTATCAATATAAATGAAAAAAAAAAAAATAACTAAATGTTATTCTGAAATTGAGCAGAGTACCAAGTAAAAGTTAATTTGTTCAGTTACCAGTTCTTAATTGCTGACGTGTAGTTTTCCATTTCCATCACTGAATCACTGTTTGTGTTCCACAAGTTGCAGAGGTGCATTTAACTAATGCGCACTTTCCTGTCGTCTGGTATCTTCAACAAAACTTCACAACTTTTAGTATCCGCACACAGTTACAATTATAAACTTAAATTTAAAAGAGTTTTGTAGCTGTAATCCCAAACAATGAGTACAGCTTGTCAAGAATAGGAAGGCATATGGAAAATATCAAATACGGTTCGCCCATCGATGCGCAGTGAAGAGGGACCAAATTTGCCATTTTACTTGGATTTTCCGTTGCGTTCGGAACGGTACACTCTGGGTAAAATCAAAGTAAATTTAAAATAGTAAAATATTCGAATTCTTGGCAATTGGGACTATGTTTTAGGGCACATTCAAATTGCTGCCCAAATGGGCAGGTATACATTTTTTTCGAGTTAATGTATGGCCCAAAAATTCTCGGAATAAATTTGATTAAGTCATGACAGAATTGCTGCCTAAAACGAAAAGTTTACTGTCCCTACTTTTAATGATTTTATCACGTCTGAAATATAATTGGGGAAAATAAAAAGCCGCTTTAAGTTAAAGATACCTATAATTTTTTATGATAAACCAGTCAACGGATAAACATAGGAATTGAACTTCGTTGACCAGTCAGAAACAACTACTCCGAGGGCAAATACCCCTACCGGCGTTGAACTACACTGATTGGTCTGAGCTTTCGTTGGCAATAGAAATTCACGTTGGTCATTACCTGAAAAATCTTTCTAACAATTTCTATTGCCAACGAAAGCTCAGACCAATCAGTGTAGTTCAACGCCGGTAGGGGTATTTGCCCTCGGAGTAGTTGTTTCTGACTGGTCAACGAAGTTCAATTTTGCTTGGACAGGGAGTTTCAGCCTATGTCCTTCTGATGAGTCCTAACAAGGACGAAACGCGTCAAGGATTGGCACGGGAAGCCTGAGTCCACTGCTCAGTGGGCCGATTCCCAAACAGGAACCGAAGTGTCCCTGTATTCACGTTGGTCATTACCTGTAAAAATCTTTCTTACAAACATAGGAATTATTTCTATGTATCTACTTTTGACAAATGTAATTTTTTTCACTCGTATATAGGTCAATTTGTCTTGATAACATTTCAAACTGTCATAATTTCTTTATTTTTGAAGTTATTTTAATAAATAAAAAAACATACTGTAGGGTTGGTTCCCAAGTTTTTGATAGGGTGGTAACTGTCAAAATATATTAGTCTTTTGTTTTTTGTCCACCCTATCTAAAACTTTAAAACCAACCCTAGTATATTTTTTTATTTACCTATTTAAATAACTTCAAAAATAAAGAAATTATGACAGTTTAAAATGTTATCAAGATAAAATGAGCACACTGTACATAATACGTAGAAGTTATTAACAAAATTTATGAATATTTTTCTGTTATTAATATAATCCCATACCGAAAATGAGAATAAAATGTCTAAAATTAAATAATTTATTTTATAAAACAACAAACTTTTTCTTTAATTAATACCTAATCAACGGTCGAATCAAATTATGGGAGGTCCTCATCTGAGTCCGAACTGTTGTCTTCACTGGTCACCTCGCTGTCACTGTCTCCTTGCAAATTGATAATTAAATCATCCACGACTAAATCCATAGCTGGTTCCTTCTCAAGATAATAATTTTCGAATTTTATAGCGTGTTGACATCGCTTCTGCCATTCTTCTTTGGAAAATGTGGGAAAAAAATCTTCACAAAATTGATCTACCTCTTTAAATTTAAAGTTCACATTTCTC